TTTGCTCCAAGATTTCCAAATGATTCCTTTTTTATTTGGCCCAGAATTCCACCAAAATGCTGCAAAGAGCTGAGATAAAGAGTTGCACACTGTTTTTGGCAGGATAAAGCAAGACATAACAATTACAGGGAGTGCCCCTAGGATAGCTTTTAAAAGAACTTCCCTCCCTGCACTTGACAGAAAATTGTTTTTCCAGCTGTGGATTCTTTTTTTCACACATTCCATCATAAAAGAAAATGTATCCAGCTTAGATCTTCCCACACCCAAGGGCAGCCCTAAGTATTTAGAGGAGTTGTGCTGGGATATGCCCTGAAGGGTTTGACAGATAGGAGCAATAAGGGAAGAAGTGGCATTCTTGCTGAAAAAGATGGTGGATTTTTGAAGGTTTACTGACTGCCCAGTGAAGGCTTTAAATTGGGAAAGCATGTGCATGAGCATTCTAGCATGAAGAGTGTCTGCTTTACAGAAGATGAGGGTATCATCTGCAAAGAACAAGTGGGAGAAAGCAGGTCCATTTTTACTAATTTTAAGACCCTGGAAAAGCCCAAGTCTGGTGTTTCTGTGAATAAGGCTAGATAAAATCTCAGACACCAATATGAAGAGATAGGGAGACAGAGGGTCTCCTTGTCTTATACCTCTAGAGGGTGTAATGTAACCTTTGACCTCCCCATTTAAATTAAAAGAAAAGGAAGTAGAAGTGATGCAAGCCATGATCCATTTGATGAAAACCGCACTAAACCCCAGCTTAGTCATAATTTGCCTAATGCTATCCCATTCAACACAATCAAAGGCTTTGGACATATCCAGCTTAACTGCCATGTAGCAATTTTTCCCTGTTCTATGCCTATTCAAGAAATGGATGGCCTCATTCGCAATAATCACATTATCTAAAATTTGCCTATCAGCAACAAAAGCAGATTGATTAGCACTGATGCACAAGGGAAGACAGGGTTTCAATCTGTTAGCAAGGATTTTGGCAATGACTTTATAAGTGACACTACAGAGACTTATAGGCCTATAGTGAGAAATAAGCTCTGGATTATTACATTTAGGGATAAGGGTGATCAGAGAGTGATTAATGCTTTTTAATAACTGACCAGAAGCAAAGAAGCTTTGAACTAAATCACAAAAGTCATTTTTGACAATATCCCAGAAGGACTGAAAGAAGGAAGAAGTCATACCATCTAAACCTGGGGCTTTGTTTGAGTCAATGTTGAAGACTGCTTCCTTGATTTCCTCTTCTTCCACTGCTGCAGTGAGATCAGCATTAAGGGCTGGAGTAATTTTGTGCTTGATATTTCTGAGAATCTCCGTGCCATTCATTTGTCCCTGAGAGGTGAACAACTTGTTGTAGAAGTCCTCCAGACCCTTTACTATTTCTTCCTTTGTGTCACAAACACTGAGGTCTTCTTTGAGCAATTTACTGATTGTGTTCTGATACCTCCTCTCCTTGGTACAAGCATGGAAATACTTGGAATTTTTATCTCCCATCTTCAGCCAATTAGATCGAGCTTTTTGCCTCCAGTACTGCTCCTCTGATTTATGGGCCTCGTTCAGTTGGTTATTTAATAGATCCCAGAGCTCCCAGTTTCTGTCACTCCCCTGGTTATTAAGGTCAGCAAGCTTTTGGTTGAGCTCTGTGATTTTAAGAGTGGCTTCACTTCTGAATTTGCTGCTCCATTTGAGTATTTCGACTCTTGTGCTTTTAATTTTCTCTTGGAAATTGAACATTGGAGTTCCATGGCAGTTTTTGTTCCAAACTGCAGCAATTGTTTCTTTGATTCCTTCTCTTCCCAGCCATCTCTTCTCAAAATTGAACCTTTTCTTGACTTTTCCGATGTTAGGGTTGCAATTCAGGAGAATGAGTCCATGATCTGAAGCACTTCTGTGAATATTGGTAGCTTCTGCTGATGGAAATTGATGATGCCAGCTCAATGTACAAAAATATCTATCCAACTTCTCCTGGACATATCCTTCCCCCATTCTTCTATTGCCCCAAGTGAATTTGTGGCCTTTCGTGTCCAGTTCTAGCAACCCCATTTTAGCAATGAATTCTCTGAATCCTTCCATTGAGCTTTCTGATCTTCTCTTGCCACCTTCCTTCTCAGTATTGTCTAAGAGGTCGTTCCAATCACCACCCATGAACCATATGTCTCCCCAGTTCTACTTAGCATCTTTAAGATAATCCCATTGACTCCTTCTCTGAATCACATCAGTACTTAGGTAAAGAAAAATACCCCAAGAGCTAGCAGGGCTACCAGACTCCCAGAAATTAACTTCTATACAAAAATTGCTCTTAACCAAGCTAATAATCAGGATAGAGGGATCCCACCCCAAAAGGAGACCTCCACTTTTCCCTAGAGGCTCAACAGTGGTCCATCTATCCCCCAGGCAAAGATTTTTACAAACAGTTTTGGTAAAATTTTCTTTTTTTTTTTGTTTCAGAAAGGAAAATAAAGGTTGGGTGGTGGAGCCTGTGAATCTCCTTGATTTGGGAAACTGTAGAGGGCCCACCTAGCCCTCTACAATTCCACACCGCAACCTTCATTGGGAGGTTGGGGGCCCATTAGGGTTGGCCTCCTTCACCCTTTCAGATTCTGTCTTCTGCCTTTTAACATTTTCAGTTCTCTGCTCCTCATATCCTTCATCTTCTGTCTCACTAGTGGTGTTAATTTCTGAGTGTTGGTCTTTTTTCCTTTTGTTTTTGGAGCTTTTCCCAAGTTGCTGGTGCCCCTTCAAAATTGATTTAGGGAGGGTCCTTCTTTTCCATGTCTTTGTGGCCTTCAAGGGAGTTTCTCTTATCTGCTTTTCTGGTTGAGATTCAGACATCTAATTCATGGCACAATCATTTTCTGTTGTTGATTCCTCCATTTGAAATT